ATCTGTTTACTTGATTGTTTGTTGATTTGCCATACATGAAACTTTTCCCTCCAGCAAGATGGTCAGAGTCAAAGTGCCTCAAAATAGGCTGAACTATAGACACAGTTGAATTTTCTGTTCTCATATCAACTCTTAATATTCTTGGGCACCCTAGAATAAAAATAGTCCGTGATGTTGTTTTTTACAACTTATAATAACCTTGAGAGCGTACACAGTCAACATAGTAACTAGTGATTATTCTAGGATCATTATTTGATGATGCTACCTTAAGCCAAAGTATTCTACGAGAATATCTAAATTAATATGACAGACTATAATGCATAAAAATTCAAATTTACCCATCAATACACCCATGAATGCTTATACCATAAGGCTTCAATTTGTCATACCCATCTGCATGCCACATATAGTTAGGTCCTTTGTTAAGGTAGATTCTACGCTTTAGCCTTCGTGACTTTCTTATCTTCGTCCCTTCATGATCCATTGTTGCCAATAACATCATTACAGTGTCCCTGTATTAAATTTTAAATCAAGCAGGGTTCTAAATATGACAATACCTTGTAACTGAAAAATTATATTTTCCTTTCAATCGATGCCATAGGCTTCGATATCCTAACAAGCTACCAGGTCCTTTTAACTCCTCCTACAAAATAAAAAATGATGACAATAATAATAATAATAATAGTGATCATGCTCCAATATTAATAATAATGGGGATAACACATATCTATATAACCTCAATGGCGGCCTTGATATCTTCCAAGGAGTCCCTTGTTCTCCCAGAGCCACGGCATCTTTGTATATGTATAATTCTTTGAACTTGTCGTAGGCTAAAATTATGATTCATATCAGTAAAATCCTCCATATATAAAGGAAGCATGAGATAAACTTTACCTGATTTCTTTAACAGGGGAAAGAAGGGTCCTTATTTCTTGAGTATTACAGCCAAGTCTTTTCAATTCCAAAATGATGTCACGGAAATCAGCCATTATAATAATTTAAATAACCCAACCTTAACCATAGATAGTAGAGTAAATGAAACTCTATTATCTATGCCTTAACCACACACACTAGCCACACCTATATCTACAAGATACGTGAACGGGAATGAACGTGAACGTGAATGAACGTGAACACGAATGAACGTGAACACGAATACGAACATGAACGGAAATGTCGCTGTCGGCTTCCGTAATATATAGTATCTATGCTCCCTCCCTCCCTCCGTATGTATGTATGTACGTACGTCTCCAGTCACGCCTATTCTGGTCACACCCCATGTGTGCACAATATCTATTTAAAAATCAATGATCTAATGCGGTAGCATTCTAATGAAATATTTTCATTGATGTGGGTGTGGTTGCAATGAAATTAAAATGGCACCTACCTTAGCCAATCTTACTTGCAGCAACATAGGACTGATCTCTTGTCAAGACACTTCCACAGCAGAGAAAATTCAAGAAAACACACATAAATCTTCAAGTTTTTATTAATTATGGTTGAATGACATAATATAAAAGCACTTCAAATGGCTCATCAGAGAAAAGAGAGTCTAAAAGTACTGTGCTTGAAAATATCATAGTAAAAATTAAATTATACTTATTAAAGTTACAACTCAGATTCTTCACTGCTAATAAAGCTAGAAAAGCAAGCTATAAAATTTCCTTGCATGCAAGTCACAAGTTCTGAGCTGCTCTGCATGTGTATCATTCAATTTACAATTTGACAACAACATTAGCCTTTGTGACATCTAAACATTGTATATTGCCATGCTAGCTTGTGCTCGCCCCTTCAATGTTCTACATTCGCCTAGTTTATTATACAAGCAGAATCAATGTGAATTATTATTATTATTATTATTATTATTAGTATACTTAAGCCACACCTATTTATAGAATAAGGGTGTGGCTGGATTTTTGCAGCAACCAACCATTTGCATTGTAGAGAGAAACACGCGCAGTGGAGTATCAATGGGTCAGTTCCAATCCATAGCGCTCAAGAAGGCCCTGGAGAAAGAAGAGGATGTCTTTGAGAGAGGAGAAGGGACCACTCTAAACCTACAGGGGCTTACAATCAGTGAGAAAGATGCCAAACTCTTAGCAGACACTTTCAAAAAGCATCAAAGCCTCGGAGAAAGACTACAGCTTGTTCAACTGGGAGCTTGTTCTTTATCACCGACTGCAATACACAATATAGTTACCGGGATAGCTAGAACAAGAATTGCTAGCACTATTACTAGAATAGACTTGGTAAGATATCAGTGTCTGTAGTGTCCATTATATCTCACCTCCTCCTCCTCCTCCTTCTAATAGAGCACGTCTAGCAGCATACCAGAGGGTAACCCTTTGGGTAATGATGGATCAGTTAGCATAGCATTAGTAAGTGTTACTATCCAGACCATAAATAGCTAGTGTATCTTGCAGTACAATGAACATGCACACATCAGCTTATGATGATAATACCATATAGTCAGTAGTGTTACTTGATATTGCATTGATAGTCATTGGTACAATGATATCACATGTTAATATATAGACTATCATTTAGATGCTGTAATGCGAGTATTAGTCTAAACTTATCTGGTTCATTTAAGATAAGGAATCATAAGCATTAATTATTAATGGATGTCATTCCCACTACTTTGTGAATCAAAATTTGTATTTTTAGTTTATTCGAAGTTGTAAGAACCTCCAGCACATGAAAGCAGCTGCCTGTCAGTTGGAATGTGGAGGGATGAGTAATATATCAGCAGCTGTGTCTTCAAGTACCTCATTAAAGACCCTGGATTTAAGGTAAAGAGAAAAGGCATCATGCTTTTATTATATTATTATTAATTCTCTTAGTTATAACAATATCGCTGATACTGGTGCTCAGTATCTTGGCTCTGCTTTGGCTGCTAGCAAGTCTCTCCAAGGTTTCTCGTTATGGAGGAACCTCATCACGCCCGAAGGTTGTAAGTACCTTGCTGAAGGTCTCAGCGAGAACTCTAGTCTCAAATGGCTTGGGGTAAGCCTTTATCTTCCTGTTTATAAATTAAAATAAGATTCATTGCAGCTTGGTTGTAACAGCATTGGAGATAAAGGAATGGAATATTTAATGGAAGCACTAGTTGATAATATTGCCAACTGCAAGCTGACTTGGCTTGCATTAGGTAATAACAATATTTCTGACGACGGTATTGAAAAACTTGCTGAGTTTCTCACGGCCGGTTGGACGAGTATTGATGATGATGAGGGAGAAGAAGGTGTGGCTTGTCCAGTAACATCCCTCGGGCTAGGAGGAAATGAGATAGGGGACAGAGGAGCTAAGGAACTGGCTCAAGCACTTGATGTGAATGACAGTAAGTTATAAATATTTGAAAATATACTTATATTGCTATCACTTTTCCTCTCTCTCTTTCTTTCTCTTAGAATTGTCATCTCTCGGTCTTTCTTGTAATAAAATTGGTGATGAAGGTGCAAAGGCGCTAGCTGAGATGCTCCGAAGTAACCAAACGCTAGAGAACCTTTCGCTCTCTTCAAATCAAATCGGAACCGACGGAGGGGAAACCCTCATAGCCTCACTCTGTGATAACACGACGCTATCAAAACTACTGCTAGCACAGGTACAATTCAACTGAATATATTTAATGCTTTGGAATACTTTTGATGATTAATTTGCTTCTTTTCATTGTCATTCTCCTTGTGAAAGACTATACTTATCCAAATGAAATAAGACATTCTCCATATAATGTACCAAGTGTGATGGAATATGTATAGACTACAGTAGTTGTGATTATTAAATG